TTTTTTTTAGCCAATGGCATCCCCATATTTAGAAATCATTAAAATTTTTATGCTTGCATACTCGGGCCAAACAGCTATTGTAAGAATAATGGTGAATGTGTTTATTTCTTTGGGTCATTTCGCTTTAGTGGGAACATCAAAGAGGTATGATAAATATTTCCTTTGTCTATGGGATCTATTACAATGGGGGTTTCATACAACCTAACTTTAGCATGTGATAAGGATTTGGTGCATTACAATTATTATTATCACAGTAAACGCCATGGGGAGGTGGAGAAGAATCCCTCCTCCGTAAGTTATGCGTGTTGTAAGAAGGCGACTAAAATGCCGGGACCAAGGGTTCTCCTGTATAAATTACTAATTGTACAATGGAGAAAAACTTCCATCTGTTCTTTTTTGGGATGCCTTGCCTCGGTGGTGGATGGCTAGTGTTTAAAAAAAAAAAAAAATACAGTAAAGGTTTGATAAAAGGGACTAAGAAAGGGAGGGGGTGTATGATTTACTAAAAATTCTGCAATACTGAATGTTCCAATTAAGCGGATGTAGTATGCTTAATCAATCAACTACTAGACATGGAAAAATGCCCAATAAAACATAATTAATCTGCTGTATTGATAGACTACCAGACTTACTAAGAAAAAACAAATAAAATACAGTCTTACCTGTAAATGAACCTGAAAAGAAAATGGGTTAAAAGTACAGCAAAGTAAAATACAATTGAGTACAGTACAGTAATTTTTCTTACCTTGTCTAGTGAGCAGATGAGCTTAAAAATATACATTACAGTACAGTATTCCCATGTGGTCTAGTGGTGACCCAGAATACCTTATTCTAAGTCATTGGAGCAGTAAAACCCCAACTGCAACATTGTAGATGGTGTGGGAGAGAGACAGGTATGTGGTGAGGGAGATGTAGATGGCTCAGGCTTACTGACATAAGGCCGGGAAGTTGGCACTGGATGCTCACGGCTACGTGGAGTCCTGCCGTTGCAGATATATTGAAGATATATCATTTTTTTTATAGTATATCTTGGAATTTCATAACCAACTGTTGTTCAAACATAAATACTATAGGTATGACATAGTAATCATACTGTTACAAAAAAACATGAACACAATGACAGGTGAATATGTACACCTGCCTCATTCACATATTATTGTCTACAAATATATACAATTATTACAGGTCCGGCAGTTTTAAAAGTCTGGATAGAATGATACCCTGAACATGGTATCATACAGAGTGCACCTCACTTTTGACACATGCTCTGTCCTCTGCTGTTGGGGTGTTTGTGGCGCAGGACACACAAACACCTTGTTAAAATACTTTTTTTCTCAATGATGGTATGTATGACAAAGTGATAGTAAAAATTCACCCCGGTACTTTCCTCTCTGTTGTGTGAGGTGTCCAGTCACTGTTGAGGTGCAGGTAGACAGATGTGACATGGTACTTTCTTACTTCTACTTTATGACACTGAGGGTGAATTCTGCATATTATCACCACACAGTGCATGGTACAAGGCATGAAACACTGCATTGTACCATTACACTGCTTCCAGTGAACTTGGCTATGTTTCTATTTCTTTCACTAGTTCATACATATCTGTATTGTTTCATATGGAGGAAATCAGTGCAGCATAGGACTGGATACTATGTCTGTGAACTATGTATGACTCTTGCCAGGTATGGTTCCATTTCTTATGAATAACATCACCAAAATGCCCAATGTCTGTCTGGTATCACTGAGTGTTCTCCAGTGTAGACAATGACATCCATGCATTCTCAGTCCACACAACAAAAGTTTATACAAGTGACTTTCGTTTCTTCGTATACATTATTTAATGACAGTTGTCCCTTGAACAGAATCAAGGACTCATCAAAACCAATGTGTCCTGAAAGGAAAAAGTAAGACGAATTTTTATTTCGATACAAAAACATTTCAGGATTTGTAAGTAGGTCATTTCTGCTGGGACTATTCCTCCTCAGAAGTGCCAGTACAGAGTGACACCTGGTTAACGATTTCTACGTGCAGAGGGCTCATCGTTATGCAACTTCTCGTTATGCGAATGGAATTTCCCCATAGAAATAATGAATAAAATTAATCGTGCAAGACGCCCAAAAATTTGAAAAATAATTTTTTTTTCCACATGAAATGTTAATTTTAATACACACAAACTGAAAAAGCATGCACAAATTAATGACACTTACTTTTATTGAAATCTGGTGATGATTGATGGTGATGGGAGGAGGGAGGCATTATCTCTTACTGTTTGAAGGACCCCTTCCATTAGACTTGAGGTAGTAAGTCCTTTTCTGGGTTACACCCTTCTTTTTTTATGCATAGGCAGCTTAGAGTCACTGACTTCTTATGCACAAGATACTGTCCATAGTGGTGATTTACCTCTCGTCCTTTATGACTTGCCTAAGTGTTTCACACATTGTCGTGTAATAATCACCACACGGCTGCAAACGCTGTGGAGGGTGATTTTATCCTGAAGGTTTGCACTTAAGCACTTGCACAGATTTCTTTATCTGTGTAGGCAACTTTTCAATTTCTCTGTCCTCCTCTGCATACCAGTTTCCCCAGGTCTGGCTCTTGCCTGAGAAGTAAAAAAAAAAAAAAAAAAAAAAAAAAAAAAAAAAAAAAAAAAAAAAAAAAAAAAAAAAAAAAAAAAAAAAAAAAAAAAAAAAAAAAAAAAAAAAAAAAAAAAAAAAAAAAAAAAAAAAAAAAAAAAAAAAAAAAAAAAAAAAAAAAAAAAAAAAAAAAAAAAAAAAAAAAAAAAAAAAAAAAAAAAAAAAAAAAAAAAAAAAAAAAAAAAAAAAAAAAAAAAAAAAAAAAAAAAAAAAAAAAAAAAAAAAAAAAAAAAAAAAAAAAAAAAAAAAAAAAAAAAAAAAAAAAAAAAAAAAAAAAAAAAAAAACGTACCATAAAATTCCCAGGGAATAAAATGTCTTTGGTAACTTTTTTACTTTCCAAATATGGAAATCTTTAAAAATCACTCACAAAGCCCTTTGGTATATGTTGGACTCCCAGATGGGGGGCCAAGATCATACAGGTTTCCCAGTACCCAAATTTTATAATAAAAAGGAAATCCTTCTTCCACTACTAATTTTTAATGCATTTCCCTTGAAAAAAGGAGTTTTATAAAAAGTTGAAAAAATAAGGTGAAAAAAATTTTTTCCCAGGTTCAAAACCCCCCAATTTTTTATATTTCCCCTATCCGGGCAGACCATTTCTCAGCAAGGTCTGATCAGGGTGGGGAAATGTGAATGACGGGATACTGAGAAGAAAATCGGTGGCCCTGTAAGGGAAAAGGGTGATCGTAATTATTAAAACTGAATTAAGAAAAACTTTTCACAGCACAGCTTTTGAGCACTTTTACAATGTGCCCATGTATCTTGGGCAATCTCCATCTTCCAAAACTGAAAAATCTTTAGGACTATCTGTGTTATGGCATTTGGGAATTTTTTTCCCTTTGGCTCAAATTTAAAAGGGTGCACACAATTTTTACCCTTTCCTTTTACCCAGCTAGGTCTTACCGTCTTTGGGCAGGTAAAGGGGACAGTAGGAAACCCATTGGGGGGGGGTTTTTCCCTGCCGAACCCCCTTCCAGATTTATAATAGTTATCAGGAAAAGGGTTTCTTTGTATCCCCTTTTTGGGGAAAACGTGAAAAGGGACGGTCTGATTGTCTGTGAACTATGTATGATTTGAGGTTTGGGTTCATTATCTTTGAAAAACATCCACCAAAAACCCCAAATTCTTCTTATCCTTTTGTTTCTCCCAGGTAGACAAGAATCCTTCCATGCATTTCAGCACACACAAAAAAAATTTTTCCAAATATTCGTTTTTCTTGTTACAATTTAAACATGCCCTTGCGCAAAGGACTCTCAACAAAAATGTCCAAAGGAAAAAGAAAGCGTTTTTTTTTCCCTACAAAAAATTTTTGGGATTTTGTACGGGGATTTCGCTGGGCCTTTCCTCCCCGGTCATATTCGTAGCAACGTGAATCGTTGTTGGGGGGGGGGGAATTACGGAACCGGGTTTTCTGGGGGAAGCAGTCTGTGGCCCTGTACTGTGCATGGGGTGCTTGTACATAGAGGTATAAGCATGCAGTGGTAAGGAAAAAATACATTTCGCTCACATTTGTAACCCCCACCTGTGCAGCCATGGAAAAAATTTGTTTTTTTGGTGACAATCGGGTTTCACAGGGTTGTCAAAGTAAAGCTCAAAAAATTTTCAGGGAAAATTTATTGGGGTAGGACATTCTGAGAAAATGCCACTTCACTGGCATAAAAAATTAAAAGGATGCAACAA